ATGATTCGAACTTTCTACCTTCTGAGAATGTAGACTATACATTGAACCCTCGACCTTCGAAGTGGGCAGATAGAACTCTGAACCTTCCGTGTGTCTGTAGTTAATCGAATCCTCGATCTAGCCCCAACCCTTCTAAATGCGCATGATAATCGAACACTGGACCACCGAAGCATACAGGGCGTCGAACCCCGAACCATCCAAGCATGCAGGGTATCAAAGACGCTGGAGCCGAGGAAGTGTTCCAGAACTTTAGCTCCTTTCCTGTGAAACAACGAAAAAAGTTCATAGCCCTGCTTTCACAATTTTCTGTTTAAAGACTAAGAATAATGCACTGCTTGTTTGAAACTGCGATCGCTGACAATAGACAGGCTTAGTTGGGCGTCTACAGCAGCTCTGCGGACGCAACCTGCTAGCCATTGCGTATGGCATACGCAAAGTTGTTGCGGACACTCATCTAAATATGTCCAATGTTCTCAAGGAATGGTAATTTTGACCCACAGTGGCCTATAGGTTACAGACGTTGAGTTGCGAAGTTGGAGGACGCGGTCGAGTTCCCGGCCACAACAGCCGAATGTCGACAACTGAGCGAAATGTAATCGAGCGCTTTTATTACGTAAGTACACGCCAAATGCTCCCGGGGTGGTCAAAAATTCATCCGAAATCGCCTTCCATGGCGTGCCGCAGCATCGCATCATAGTTTCAGAAAGTAAAACAGTAGAATTGAATCAAGTTGTTTAAAGAAAGTTCTCTTTTAAAGGCACCAAGCACTTTCTATGCTCTCTGCTTGTCGGTGTCTCCTGTCGTCACGGTGTGTCATGTATACTCATGGTGCATCATAAAGATAACGTCACATGCTGACGTCATCCTATCATGATATAAAGACACAAGGTCGACAAAATTTGTCACGCAATCATGACATGGCGAAGGGTCTCGGCTTGTCGGCGTCTAATGTCGTCATGGTGTGTCATGTATAGTCACGCTTCATCAGATAAAAAAGGGTATGCGCCACGGAAATTGGCTAGATCCCATTATTCGCCACCACTTCACTGAAAATCAAGGCAAAAGTTCACCCAACAAATATAGCCGACGACGTTAGTGGAGCGCTGAAGTAACCTTCCCTGCATGCAGTACGGAACTGAAGCAGCGCACAAAGAAGTATAAACTGCATGCTTCGATCTCTCCCCCACCCCTTTTCTTGATGGTTTCGCGTTAGTGGAGCTTAAACAGCTTTTCCCACAAGCGTCGCTCTTTCTCAGTTTTCTTTTTACTTATATAGATGCTCAGTGGTGGGGAAAAACTTTATTCGTCAGAAGGCCAAAAAGTAAGATGTTTCAAAAATATTAAAAAGCAGCGTTGCGGGCGGCCTTCAGGCTGCCGGTTGTGGCGTCCAGGCAGTGCCTAGCCGCGACGTCCTCCGCCCAAGTCACCAGCCGAAGTTGCAGGTCCGCGCTTTCACAATTTCAGCCAATTGTCTAAGAAGCAGACATGTGGTGTCTTGCTTGCCTTTCCAAGACGTATCAACGGAATGTTGACAGTCACATTCATACACGAGTATATATATTGATTGATATGTGGGGTTTAACGTCCCAAAACCACCATATGATTATGAGAGACGCCGTAGTGGAGGGCTCCGGAAATTTCGACCACCTGGGGTTCTTTAACGTGCGCCCCAAATCTGAGCACACGGGCCTACAACATTTCCTCCTCCATCGGAAATGCAGCCGCCGCAGCCAGGATTCGATCGCGCGACCTGCGGGTCAGTAGCCGAGTACCTTAGCCACTAGACCATCGCGGCGGGGCACGAGTATATATAGTATACGCTTTTATTTGGCGTCATATAAAAAGTTTACGGATGGCGGAATGCAGTTGCAGAGAAAAACATTGCTTTAGTATACCCTATAACCACGTCCTCATATACTTGCATGCAGCCGGTCCATTCGGATAACGTTTACTGTGCGATATTACTCAGCTGCGGTCACAAAAATACCCGGCAACTGTTTGCGCAGCGTTGTCTGCCAGCTGTGTTTCTTTTATCAGCGCGAGGCTTATACTTTAATTACGCCTGTCACATACTTTTTCACCCATCACAACATGTTTGTTTGCCCAACTGGTGGTATACGTGGCTGTAACTGAAAGTGCCAGGAGTGCTGCGATGTGTACCTCTTGATGTTGTATTGAAGTTGGCAGTCTTTCTGTTCTTGTTTCTCGTGTTATTTTCGTAGTATTCCGAGTACTGTGTGATGTCAGTGCACGTGTTAACAACATTATATAGTCAAAATTTCTGGAGCCCTCCACAACAGCGTCTCTCATAATTATATTGTAGGTTTTGGGACCCCTGGATAATAATAATAATAATAATAATAATAATAATAATAATAATAATAATAATAATAATAATAATAATAATTTGTTGTTGTATCGGATGTGTCTCGCGTTGAATGGGCTCGCGAGCACGCTGCCTCGACTATCGCTTGTTACCACGTTTGCTTGTTATAAGTTCCGCGCAAAAATTTCCCCACTTTGCCGATGTTTTGGTGCTCGTTAAAGAACCATGATTCCTCAATATTACGCCGGAGATTTTCGACGCATCGTGCGTTAAGCAGTCACGTGCCACTTTGAAGTGTGGAATTCGCCGGCTGGTGTACTAGTTAATTCAAAGAACTTCACTCGAAAGCCATGGCGATGGTATTACCCGACTTGACATAAAATAAACGCTTAGGTATCATATATCAAGCCGCGCATTTGCACGCAGTAGTTATGCTCACAACGGTCACGGGGCAGAGTGTCGGGAGAAAAACAAAAGTGCAATCGTAAAGTTTTCATAAACATGGCCACGTGCGTGCGGGTGCGCGCGCGTGAGCGCACAAAATTCGTTCGCTTGTAGGCCAAGAGCCTAGCGTTCTATTGAGGCGTTCGGCTGTTCCATCCACGCGGAACTTTACCGGGCAATTTTTTCGCAAGCAAGGGCATGCTAGACTCGTGGAATATGCTTAATAATGGCGCGCAGCCATGGAGGAACGAAACTGTGGCTGTCGTTTGCAATTTCATTGTTAAAAAGTTGGCAACTCCCTTGCATCTACGAAAGAGTCTTTGCAATATTGCTTTAAAAAGTAATATGAAAGTTAGCTTCCTTCACTTTAATGCCGCTATGTTTTTTTTTTGGGGGGGGGGGGGGGGGTACGGTAAGGGGCCCACACCTTTAACGTAACTTCGTGCGTGTTTTGCATGTGTACATACAGACACGCGCACATCAAATATTGAAAATTCAATATTGGACGCGTATGGATGTGATTCAATACACATCCAACATATATAAATATCGGGGCCTTTCGAACCCGTCTGGCTACGTCCCATCGACAGCGCGAAAACATCGTTCTCATTTTTCACATAAAGCTTTTTTTAGGTTTATTATTTGTTCATATCAACATACGATCATTCCCTCTTACTGTTCTGCTAGTCAGTGCCATTTATAAATATATACACCTCCTCACGCAGTTCTAGTCCCACATTAGCGGCATTCACCCTCGCCTTTTGTGGTATGCTTCCTCAAAACTCGCTACAACGATTCTCGCATCAAGACCGCGTGGTTTTGCACTCTGCGTACAGGCGTCCGTCATACCTGTCCAGCGATGAAATGAAACGTTCAAGGCCATTGTGAAATCTAATTCCGCACAGCGGGGAACTCTTCAGGGGGTTGCCTTCCCAGAGTGACGTGCTGTCTGTCACACTGAGGTGTGGTTTCTTTGTTCCTTCTCTATAGCTTCTACTACGCAGTGGCATTCGCTCGTCTCTTCTCGCTCCGGAAGTTAAATAGTTTCCGTATGGTACATTCGTCACGAAGGCGCGCGCTTCCTTGCAGTGTATGTTTGTAACTGCTAAGGAACTCATCATCATCAGGTATACATTAAGTGCAATGTGGGACTGGTATCCCTCCCGCTGATTTACCACCCTTTCTGTTACTCCAATGTTTCAAAAGGCTCCTTTGCCAGAAAGGGATTCACTTAGTCCTGGATGGCTGCAGGCCTGCCCTGCAGCTCTATCTGGTGCTATTCGTGGACTTAATGTAGATGAGCTCCACCGCTAAGTACGCACTACTTTACGGACGGGTTCGAGTGTTTCCAACTTTTCGTTTCTGTATCCTTTAACAACTAAAGGAACAGTGCTATGGTAGGCGCATACGCATGAAAACGGTTGGGTTGGTACTTACGTTGTTTGATGACCTTCTTAATTCACATTGCGATATACAAAAACAAGTAAACAGTGGCGTAACAGCCTACGATGGCAATGCCCAAATTTATTACGGAAAATAGGCCAAGCCGTAAAGCCTACGCTGATAACGACGCGAGATGATGCCATCCGGTGCCGTAACCAGAATTTTTTTTTCGGGGGTGATTATGTCTACAACGGCTAACTTTGTCCAATGGTGATCTATGTGAAGACGCGTGTAAATACTTTCGTATCCGCCAAAATGTTAGATCGTGAAAAAGTTTCGGCGGGTGTCACAACCCCGAGCTCACCCTATGGGTATACGTCCCTGATGTCATCTAAAGGTCGCTATAGCGGTATCGGATTAGATCAGCTCCGTACACTGCTCGCAACATTCAGGGTTCTTCCTAAATGTCAAGGTGGATGAAACGCTTCGCATTGACCCACTCGTGACGCGGCCAGCACGCGACCCGAGACCACTATAAAAATGACCAGCTCGTATCGACCAGTATACCGCGACATCGGTATACATAGACGTCACGTAGAAGTGACGCCCATCGACTATATACTGCACGTCTCGAGCGTAACGGCGGTGGCGTGTAAGTTATACTTCCATTCCCCGACTGACGTCACGCGGCAGCAAGGGCAGGCGCTTGTTTCGCGCGGTCACCGAATACGGATGCGTCGATCAGAGAGCGCCGCTGTCGCGCCCCCCTGCACCCGAGACAACAACCAGGCGACGATGACAGTGCTATCGAAAGAGCGTCCTTGCGTGCGTCCAGCGAGGAGGCACACAGCGAGGCTCTCTCGACCCGTGCATTGAAGAAAAAAAGCCCGAGCGGCCAGTGGCCGCAGTCTCCGTCTCATCTCTCTAACCCGCGCGCGCTTTTATCCGTCCGTTCACCTTCTGCTGGATACTGTGGTTTCTGCGGTCGTTGCGTCAACATGCGGCCGACGAACGCCGAGTCGCACAACAAGTTGGTGCACGTGCTAGATCGTATTTACGAAACGCCCGAGCGAGTGTACTACCACAGGCCGGGGTGAGTGTCTCTCTCTCGTGTGATCACTGAATCGTAGCGCGTGTTGATGTTTCGTGGCGCGATCCTTTGACTGCTGACGTTACGTACACGCCAGCGGGCGCGCCAGAAACGGCATGCATACAGCACCATGGCAGCACGGGGCTTGCAAGCTGCTTTAAGTGAACTGCTCGAGTGACGGCGAAGTTATCAGTCGTGTCAAACGCAAGCGGAAAGAAAACGGCCTTCCGCATTCACTCCTGTGCACCGTGCTTCTATGAAAGGCGAATGGTGTTGTTGGCAATGGGCCTTTGTCAGTGTGCTGTGCTGTCTACACCGCGTTGACCGACAACCGCATAAAATTAATCGGACTGCTGAGCTTTTCTTCTTATGTCTTTCGCGCCTAGAGCTATATGCTCACTTAAAGTGTACCATATACAGTAACTCTATTCGCGCCCTACTTCGTCCTCCCTTTATTCGCCAAGTAAATTCGTTCTTGGCGTAATCCGTGTAGGAAGGAGATTCGTTCGTTCGAGAAATTCCGTATTTATGGAAGCCTAAATGAATGAATGGCGGTTGCCTGTTCTAGCCGCCGCGTGGTTAACAGCTGACGCCCTCGATTCACGCGTCGAGGGCATCGCGAGGCGTGCTATAGGAGACGCGGCGGCGCCGCGCACTGAATACGCCGGACATACGCTCCACGTGGTTTGCTGCACATCTACGCACTTATGCGCCAACTGTATGCGAACCTTCACATTCCTTTCCATGGCACTGTCTTCGAGCCATCAACGTACCAGTGGTTTGGTCATTACCAGTGTTATGGATTGGCCTACTTGAAAATGTCTGGCGCAATTAGATTACGTGAAGGTCACTACTGACTGCTACCTATCGGTTATCGTTATAATCGGCAAGCGACGAAACCGATGCGCGCTAACTTCGATGAAGAAAAAGCAAAGGACGCGTGTAAAGTAGGTCTCACCGAGGCGTTGGTCTCGCATAGTTTTAATCGTTTGATTAATCTGCGGACGATAAAAAAAAGTCGGCTGAATATTCTGTCAGCACGCCCTTCTTAACGCACATCTGTTTCACTGTTAGCGGGAAGTACCATAAACTGAAAAGATGTTTTCGATTCTGGATAATCTGAAGAGAAAATCTGAGAATAGCTGTGTGCGCATACATGGTAAACATTGTTCCGAGTCAACACATATCGCGCGTCAATATGTTTATCATATAGTCCTGGATGCTGATAATGCTACACTAACAGCGCATATTTATCGTTGTGATGTTCATGACCTTGACAGTGGGGCTACGCCGTTTTGGAGCCTAAATTTACGCGCGACTCGGCGTCAAGTGCATGCTGTCGGAGCGTGAATGCAACCGATAATTGGGACCCACGCGGCGTGGCTGCTGCTTGCACCTTAAAGTGTGCGACGTTCGCGCGGGCTGATATCGCAGATGTGTCGAAAGCCTTTATCCGATCGCTGTCGCGGTGTGCCGTTGATAGTGTTGTCGACCGCGTCTGCACCTTTCTGTGAATCAGTGCTGACTGCGACATCCGCTGTTTGTGTCGTTCCAGGCACAGTCGGCACGAACATCGCCCCAGGTGAGTATCTCGCCGAAAACGCCTCCGTGTTTGTTCGAGTGGCAATGCACTAATTCCCCTCTATACGTGCACCGCACGCCGTCTTCTTTGGCATTTCCACCAATTCCCCCTTGTTGTCCTTGTCCTGCGCTGTGTGTTTTCTTCGGTTCGCTGTTCGCTATCTTTTCCATTCGTGGGCGGGTGCCCAGACATTCGCTGTCCCAGCTTTCCATTGCATTCACCCTGGTCACTCTCTCATGCACCATTTGAGCGTGGTCGTTGATTTTTACATTTTTTTTTTCGCTCTAAGCCTCGTCTCTTGAATTCGTTCCTGGCATGCATTCACCCTATTCCGTCTTTCGTTTCTCACCCCCGCCCTTTTTTGCACCCTGTCGCTCTCATCTGTTTCTCGACCAGTGGGCGTTGTACCTAATCCCGTTTTTCGGAGTTCTTACGTACGCATGTAATTCCTGCGAAAGTCGCACGCGGATGCCCAGGCTTGGAGGTATTTGAGCGCAGTCACGCATGTAGAAAGACAGCGGTCCCACGTGGGTCGCGGACCGTTTTGTTAAGCGGCTCGCCCATTATTTTATTATCGGCGCCAATGCGGAAAGCCAACTGTTATCCGGAAGTGTTACTGCTCTAGATGCTTTCTTGGCCGTTCGAGTGCAGGGGTGGGTGATTACTGCCTTACTCGTGTAAGTAATGAAAAGCGAAACCGACATGGGAGGCGAACACGTCGTTACACGTGACATAAGTGCGAAAGCGTGAGCAGGGCTATAGTTCAGGGACAGGGGGAGGGGTCGAAGATTCATTACCCCCCCCCCCCCCCATTAAGTTGATGTGTGGAGCAGACTTTGCGCCCTTCCCCTCTAGGTGACTATGTGGCCGGATGGTGGTCCTCGACCCCTCCTTCCCCTCGCGCACGTAAAATTGAAAATTTACGGGGTTTGCATTAGGGCGCGGTCCGGAAGTGTCCGAAGCGTTTTCTAACGGGTCAGGCCCGGGCTTGAGGCAGTGGGCCGGGCCGGACTCACTTATTAAAAGGCCTAAGTTAAGCCTTTGGGCCTGATATAGGCCTTTGTGTCAACTTGAAGTGACACGTTAAAAGAGCTGGTGTACTTGGAGGGTCGCCGTAATCAAGTTCGCGCTCAGATACGATGCGATAGAAAACCTCCTGGATTCGTGAGGAAATCTCTACTCTTGGAAGACGTCAATAAGGCCATTTTGACGGAGGTCGTCCAATTCTCGAATTCCTTCAAGGAGGCCAGCGAAAAGCTTGAACAGGACAAACTACGGTAACGCTACCCCTTGTATCGATATACTACACACAAAGGTAAATAAGCAACATCTGCTGTTTCGACAGTCTCACCAGAAGTGCGCAAGCTCAAGTCGAGGACGCCAGAATTTCTTCGAATAAAACTGGCCATAGGAGCGACTTTAATCCGCGCTCTTGATGGGCAGGGGAGGAAAACTGTTCACGACACGTGAATTGTTCATTGGCCTTTGCCACAAAGGGGAACGAGCACAAAACAGCCGGATCCTGAACCCCCAGCGAAGCGTACGTCCGTTGTAGATTTTAAAGTGACTTGATTCCGCGGAAACTGAACCAGCGTATACAGTGAGCTTGAGTATAACTTCGGGACAGTGACTCGTGTGAGGCTTGAATGGTGGGAAGCCCAGTGTAGGAAATACCATGGGCTTTCATTATTTGCAAAAGTACTTTGCATCTCATAAACGATGCGCACTCAGCGAACGCAATTTCAGCGAAGCTGGGTGCGCACTCCAAGACAGGAGGACCTGCTGTCAAGAGAGCATGGACAACTGTAGTTGTTTTTTCACAAGAACTGTAGAGCATGGACAACTGTAGACAGGAGAGCATGGACAACTGTAGTTGTTTTTTCGCAAGAACATGTAGTCGTTTTTTTTTTTTTTTTGCTTCTTGCTGGCCTTTTCAAACTCCTATTCCTTTGTCGTCGTTTTCGCTTGTGGTCTTTTTGTGTCATTGGGTGTTATTTTGTGCGTAATTTTTTTTCTTGAAGAGGGGTGAAATATTTTATCTGGAATAGCATCAAGCACGACGTAGCAGCTTGATTATACAATTATCACGTCTCCGTGACACTGCGTTAGAATATGAACGATATATAATTCATCTGCTTTTGGTGGCTGTTCACCCTATATGACGTAAACGTTTCTTTATCTTACTGCGACAAACTATTAATCGGGAACCTCTTTTTTTTTTAATGTGTAGTTAATGTTTTCAACGTGAGTGTAGAGAAGAGCATTAACGATAATGTACCAGTTGCTTCTATCTGCTTTTTCATGTTTGTTGTACACTCCTTTTGAATGTATTTAGTAGCTATGTTTTGTTTTCACTATACCGTTTTTGTGATGATTCGCGATTAGCCATATAGGCAACATTTCATTTATATTCCTTTGTATTACGTGCCACAATGTGATTACGAGGCACGTCGTAAAGGTGACTTAACATGTAAGTTCTTTAACGTGTAAGATAAGTACACGGGTGTTCATGCATTCCGCCCCCATCAAAATTCGGCCGCCGTCAGCGGAAATCGCGCCCGCATTCAAGGACTTAACAGCTTAACCGCTGAGCTACCACCGTGGGCAAAGCAATATTTCGATGCATGTACGCACTGCAATTTCCGTCCGATCACCCGCTACAAAACGCAAGGCGGCATTAATAATCATCATCAACTAATATCTTGCCCCGCCGCGGCGGTCTAGTGGCTAAGGTACTCGGCTGCTGACCCACGGGTTCGAATCCCGGCTGCGGCAGCTGCATTTCCGATAGAGGCGGAAATGTTGTAGGCCCGTGTGCTCAGATTTGGGTGCACGTTAAAGAACTGCAGGTTGTCGAAATTTCCGGAGCCCTCCACTATACGGCGTCTTTCATAATCATATGGTCCAAACACCACATATCAATGAATATCTTCTAGAAGGCCTGGGCATGGTCATGAACACGCGCGCCCTGGGTAAGTTTAGTAAAAAACGCCCGGGCCCGTGCTTGGAACCACGGGCAGGGCTCGGGTTTCAGAGCTGGCCCGAGCCGAAAAATAGGCCCGGCTGCGCTCTAGTCTGTGTTATTAAGTAGGTGCACGGTGCACCATTGCTTATTTTCGTCAAACCAACGTAGCTCATGTGAAGCAACCTATAGGACTCCCCACCACCACCACATCTCTTCTTTTTCATTTCCTCGCATGTGCTAGCACTGCTGCAAGCTTGACCGAATATCTAGGATAGTTCATTTCGTAAATAAAGGAATGATGTCACGACGTCACTTCGTATGCCATTTCTTTCCTTCTGTTCGGGTCCTGAACTGTTGGACATCGCGGGGCCAACGGACATTAGTTCCGCATGCATTGAATTGAAGGCGGGCGGGTGCGGCCACTGTCAGAGCACCGTGTGTGTGTGTGTGCGTGTGTGTGCGTGTGTGTGTGTGCGCGTGTGTGTGTGCGTGTGTGTGTGTGTGCGCGTGTGCGCGTGTGTGTGTCCTGGGCGGCGAAAGAACCAGCGATGCGAGGGATCGGGGCGTCTTCGCACCCGCATCGTGGCGCTGCCGGCGTCCGTTTTACCCCGCACGTCAAAGGGCGAATCAGAGCGGCTCGTATCCGATTGTAGCGGCCCCGCGATGCTGAGAGAGAGAGAATAAACTTTATTGGGTTCCAGCATGCGGGATTCCCTCCGGCCGCGCAGGGCGTGGGGTTCACCCTATCTCACGTTACACTAGAAGTCCTAATGTCACGCGGGCCTAGACCTCAAGGCCTTCGTGCCCCGTCGCCGCTCGGGTTACTGGGGGTGTCCCCCTTTCGCCTTTGCAGCGCCAGTGCGACCTCGAGCTGCCGGACCGCGATGCTGAGAGAGAGAAACAACATTTTTGTGCATCCGGCGTGCGGGAAGTCCGCGCAGGGCGCGGGTATTCCCTATCTAAAAACTATAGCTAATAGTCCTATAGTCCCAGGCTCTAGATCTTGAGGATGTTGTGCTCTGGCTAGGCATTGGATACTCGGGCTCCTCCGCTCCCGTTGTCCGGGGCGTCGGTTCCCTTTCTCGTCTGCTTTGCCAGGGCCTCCTCAAGCCGCTGGATGGCCCTTCGTTGTGTGTTTAAGTCTTGGGAGCGTATCCATGCTCCCACCTCATCGGGATACGTGGCGTCCTGGCACTGCCCATTCCCATTGTTCACACCACTGTTACACCCGCCCCACATGATGTGGCGGAGGGTGGCTAGTTCACGTTCGCACGCGCTACACTTAGCGTCCACAAACATGTCGGGGCATACGTGCCGGGCCAATGCTGGCGTTAGCACGCATTCCGTTTGCAGTTGTCGGAGCTTCACTGCTTCCGCACGTGACAGTTCACGATGCGGGGGCGGAAAGGCTCTCCTGGCCTCTCTGTAGGCCGCCAGGATCCCTCCGTAGTCGGTGAGGGGATCGAGGTCTTCTCGTTCTTCACCGCTGGTTTCAGGGAGACGGGCTGCCGCGGTCCGGCACGTGATGAGATCACGGGCCACAGCGTCCGCCTCCTCGTTGCGGTTCTCGATGTCGGGAGCCAGGTGTCGTCCCATGTGGGCTGGGAACCATTTGAGGGCGATGGTTGGTCCTACAGCGGCGCCGCGAGCAGCCCGCGAGGCCGCGATGGACGTCACTAGCCGCTCCGTGCCCCGCCAGACCATGCCTCGGGCAAAATTCCTAATTGCCTGCTTTGAGTCGCTTAGCACCGTGCGCGTGCCCGGCCTACCTGTGGCCAGGGCTATCGCCGCCTCCTCTGCCTGGCCGGCTGTTCGGGCGCGCACGGTGCTTGCTGTTAGTAGTTTACCGGTAGTGGCGCTGACCACCACTGCTGCGAAGGCGTTGCGTCTTCCCGAATATCTTGCGGCATCCACGTAGACTGCGCCCTCGTCTCTCTGATGTTGACGGGCCAGCGCCACTGCTCTCGCCGCTCGCCTGCCCGCGTCCCTTTCTGGGTCCATGTTCTTTGGCAGCGGGTAGACAATGCTGAGGCGGCGGCGCCCACGCGCGCGTTGCTAAGAGCCCCGACCTTGTTTCCGGCTCCCCACGTTCACTGACTTCAGCGAGCAACACCGCGCACTGGTGCGCGCTTTTGGGGCGAATCTCGGGGGTAAATTATTTCGCGGGCGCAGTCAGCCAGGCATGCGTGCATATACCGCTCGCTGCGCACCGCGATGATGAAATTCTGTAGCCTTGAAAAAGCCTCGCGAATAGTCTTTTGCCGGTGGTACGGATGCTCCAGATACGTTACAGCCCCATTTTATATATATATATTTAATTTGATGCTCCGTATCAAAGGAACAGTCAGATGCTCGTCATACGTGCACACTTAATAATCAAGGTAATGTGCTAACGTGAGCAATACGAGCTGGAAAACGGAATTCATATTTATTTCATCGATTGCTTGTAATTCACGGACAGTGTGACGTATCCAACTACCAAAGATACATTTGTGCTTAATTATTTAGCGTTGTCAACACTTTTGCGCTTGCCGGCAGCGTTCAGCTGACGACCTTTGAAAGGCGATCAGTGTTCCGCATTACTACCCACTGTATATATACGGTGGTCTAGTGGAAGGCACTCGGCTGCTGACCCGCAGGTCGCAGGATCGAATCCCAACCGCGGCGGTCGCATTCTCGATGAAGGCGACAATGCTTGAGGCCCGTGTGCCTAAGTGCACGTTGGAGAACCTCCACTGCGGCGTCTTTCATGACCATATGGTGGCTTTGGGACGTTGAACCCCAACACCTATTATTAGGGTCGTATTACTCACGACCATACATGTTTCATATCAATAAAGGCGGTATTTATAGAAATCATATAGCCGCCATGATAGTGTGCCCCCCCTTCCCTTAGTAATGTCTGGATTCACGCCGCTGGTTATGCCGTCAGAATTTCGGTGCGATTACGTCTGAGAGCTCAGTCCTGCAGCTTTCATTGTGATACGGAAACAGCCCACATCTGCTTTTAATTTCTCTCTCGAAGGCCTCATAGGAGATGGAGAGTATAAATAGATAAAGAAACACACAAGTGCGAGTAGCGCGAGCGTGCCCGGATGTAGTTGTCGGACATCTTTCTCGGCTAAAAAAAAAACAAAAAAGTGGGGGGGGGGGGGGGGGGGGGCGCTGAGCGACTGGTGACGTGTGGCTGGGCACGGCGCAGTGCGTCTAGACACTGAGCTGAAGTACTGTCTCAATATCAGAAGCATACGTTGCGAGAGCTCGGAGCTACTGTCGGAAGGACGCCAACAGCACTTGGAAAAGAGCGCTGTCTGGGACGGCATTCAGCGAGGAATCCGGGTTCACGGGCAAGCAAGGGCACATCCATGTGTACGTTAACTGTCGCATGAAACAAATATTTATATCAAGCATATAAATTGAATAAGAGAAAAAGTTGTGTATTAAGCTAGCAAACTGTAGAGATGCAATTTTTTTTCTAGGAGTGATGGGGGGGGGGGGGGGGGGAGGATCCAAGCATCTTTTGTGTAAGTTCGTGCTCGTGTTTGCATATTTTGAACTACCAGGGCGTGGGGGCTAGGGGGGGGGGGGGTAACTCGACAGCTATCTGGCACTACCACCAGTTCTCAATATTGTTTCGACTTTTATTCCCAAAAATAAAACAAAATCGTAATCAACTCCAATTATTCGTACAGACTTTTTTTTCACGATTTCAACCAGCCGAAAGCCAGAACACCGAGGATAGAAGCATTTCGTCTTTAGGATAGTTGGTTCAAATTCTCAGTATGTACAAACTGACCCGAATTACAACTGTAACCTAATGTATACGTACAGAGCACATAGAAAATACATTTTCTTTATATGCAAGCGCACGTGTACATAGGTTTAGGTGCACCTTTAAGTGCACGGAAACCCCAGCTCCCGCGTTCCTCATAAGACATATCGTGTTTTTTTGACGTAGGACCCCAACAAGTATTATTATTCATCGGTCTCTTTCAGGAAGAGGTTCCTTTAATAGAAACTCTTTCTGATAAAGAATAATCGGCGTTGGCAGAATTTTGTCTTTAAAAAAAAGGGGGGAGGGGGGGGCTGGTGTGCCTTCGAATGGCTGATGGGGGAGGGGCAAGTGTTCCTTTAGCACCCCCTGCAGACACCCCAGGAAATGAATTGAAACTATAAGAAGTGGCTGGCTTTCTGTATAATGTCGACTTGTCCCGTGCTAAAGTGCTCTCTCTCTCTCTCTCCATGCAGAAAGCAACAGCAGCAGTCGGCCAGCAACGGTCAGCGTAGCGGCGGCGGCGGCGAGGCCGGAGGTGCGGCGGCCTCCTCCAAGGCTGCCACCGAGTCTGCGGCCATGAAGGCGCTCTTCTACCTGCTGCTCTTCCTGGCCGAGGTGCTACTGTTCGGCACCATCACGCTGCTCATCTACTGGGTCTTCAACTACCAGGGCGGCGTCGCGTGGGCCAACGACATCAAGAAGCAGTTCAACCTCCACTACATCCTCATGACCGGCGGATTCATCTTCCTCAACGGACATGGTGATTTACAAATTTATGTATACACCATACACGCCTTCCACAGAGCTATGTTAAGACATCAGTGGTCAATGAACGCGTCACACCAACGCCCACTTTCTCCCTATATAGGGAGAGTGGGTGCGCAGCTTCCCGTAGCCCCGCTCCCTATCGGGAGAGGGCGTGGCGCCGCGTCAGAAAGCCCCGTGCTGACGCTCTGCAACGGGTGCGTGTGGTCAAGCCTTTAAAGGGACATTACAGGCGAATATTAAGTTGATTGCTGAAATAGCAGTCCAGAAAACTCGGTGCTCTTTTGTACCTAGGAAGTGCTTATTTCGAAATAGAATAACGTTTTAGTGGTCCTTATCGCGTTAGCCCCGCCGCGGTGGTCTAGTGGCTAAGGTACTCGGCTGCTGACCCGCAGGTCGCGGGTTCGATTCCCGGCTGCGGCGGCTGCATTTCCGATGGAGGCGGAAATGTTGTAGGCCCGTGTACTCAGATTTGGGTGCACGTTAAAGAACCCCAGGTGGTCAAAATTTCCGGAGCCCTCCACTACGGTGTCTCTCATAATCAAATGGTGGTTTTGGGACGTTAAACCCCACAAATCAATCAATGGTCCTTATCGCGTTAGCACACTTCAAATTACCCGCCTCAATATGGGAGCTTTCACGTCACTAGCCATGCACAACGTTGCCCGGCGTTACTGCGGGGCCGCCGACACAACTAGCAGCACAGCGAAAGCCACAGCAGCAAAAACGGCTATTGAACAATTTCCTGCCATGGCTTCCGAGATGGCAGGCGTGCTTGGTTCAACTGGGCCCCGCCAGATGGCGCGACCTGTCCAGTGTAACCAGGCGAAAATTGAACTTTTGAGCCACTCGCGCCAATCCCCATAGTAATGTCCGGTGGTTCTTTTTCCATGAATCAAACGAACAAGCAGCATTTTATTACATGTCTCTCTTAATGCACGGAACGTTCTTTATATAGTGCAGCTAGTTCGATTACTCATGATTAATTGTAGGCGATAACTCTGACGTCATCGGTATTATTTTGCGAATGGCCTATTCATGGCGCATGTGTGCTCGTGCATTTACCTTAATTTCCCGGTGAGTAGGGCACTGCTGTTTATAATATTTTCGTTTTAGACGTTTTTATACACTGAACTTTCACTCTGACATCAATTATTTGCCTTTAGTTGACCTTTAACCACACAAGCCCGTCGCAGAACGTCATCGCACGCCTTTCTGACACGGCGCCGCGCCTTCCTCTTTGAAGAGAGGGGGCACGCAACTTCGCGCAGCTGCGCATCCTCTCTCTCTCTCTCTCTGTAGGAGGAGGGCGCAGTGCCCCGTCAGAAAGCCCCGCCCCGCGATGACGCGCATTCCATAGCCGACATAAGGAGAGGCTGTTCGTCTGAAATATAATCTACCAGCCTTTTACAGTTGCGAGAATAGGATGCACGATAAAGGTGGCTCGTACAAAGCAGCGTAGTTTCGCAAGTACACTACATTTCTTTCAACGTGACTTTGGTTCCCTTAATTGTGCCACAATAAATATCAAATTAGTAGGCATGGGAGCTACTGGTGATTCAGTAACATTGAAAATACCACACATGGATGCCAGAAGCATTTCGCTGATGAAGAGTGAACGCAATTGGGGTTACTATAGTTGACAACGCATGACAAGCATGGATGTGTTATATGAACCGAAATATCGATCACGCCACTTGCATGCTTGCTACACTTCAGGAGTGTTCTGCTCATGCAGTTCCAATGTGTGATGGTTGTCCTTTTCATGCAGCAATGCTGGTGTACCGCAGCTTCACATGCTGCAAAAAGATCTACAACAAGCTTCTGCACACCATCTTCTTCGTTCTGTCCATATCGGCGATCACCATTGGCATTGTGTCTGCCTTCATGGCGCACAACAGCAAAGCTGACCCGAAGCACTTCTACAGTTTGCACTCGTGGATTGGCCTCGGAACTATGGGACTCTTTGCTTTGCAGGTACAGCGTTAATAACTGCATGCATTCCCATTAGCTATAACTGGATGTCTTTTCAACAGGCTAGTGCTGTTGTGATAATTAACAAATGAATGTAATACGGAAGATGGTAAACGCATATGGTACAAGACAGCCACACGGCCAACATGAAGGCCTGATGTGGAAGATGGCTGGCATTCAGGTCGGGTGGAAACCACACAAATGAATTTCAAAACGACATTACAAACACCAATGATTGAGTGCATTTTCTGTTAACAGTTGCATTTTCAGTTAACCCGTCATGGTAGTGTAATGATTATCGTGCCTGAATGCGGCCTATTGAAACATTCCGTATGCCAATAATGCCATACGTTTCCACAAGATTCTTATGGAAAGAATATGGACGCTGTAAGGTAACGTACGGAATTATCGGAACGGCATACAGAACATTTCAATAGGTCACAGGATCGAATCTTAGTCGTTGCAGCCGCATTTCGATGGAGGTGAAGTGCTTGAGGCCCATATGCTTAGGTTTAGGCACTCGCTGAAGAATACCAGATGGTCAAAACTGGCGTAGTCCTCCACTATGGCACCCCTCATAATCTTATCGTAGTTTCGGGGCATAAAACACCCAAATTATTTATCTTCTCGCATTTTTCAGTTCATTGTAGGGTTCGTGTCATTCCTGGTACTGCTGTGCTGTGACAAGGCCACCGTCACCTACCGGCAACGCCTGGTGCCGATTCACACTAATTTCGGCCTCATCATCTTCAGCATGGCAGCAGCCACTTGTGTCACGGGGCTCATGCAGACTGCCAAGAGCCGGTTCAAGTAAGTGCATCACGAACGTGCAAGTCACCTGTTTGGTGTTCTGCCGAACTTAATCTTCAAGGAGACGCTAATACTGTAGCTCCACGACGTAGATCATCTGCTGACGTGTTGTGCACAGGCTTGCAGAACAGTGAAGAAATGCAAAATGATCTCCAGACGTGCGCATAAAAGGAAGAGTTAAAGGTACTGATCTGCGCACGAAAGGGCAGTGGTCGAAGCGACGAGAAAGTGAGGGATGTCAGTCGAAACCAACATAGTAACTTGCTTACATTTGAAAAGCACGCAGGTAGACAAAAAAGCGAGCCAACACAGACATCATCATCATGAGACTGACTATGGCCACTACAGGGCAAAGGCCTCTCCCATGTTTTGTCAATCAATCCGGTCCTGTGCTTTCTGCTGCCACGTTACACTTGTAAACTTCTTAATCTCATCTGCCCACCAAATTTACTGTCTTCACCTCGCATGTTCGTCTTCTCTTGCAATCCAGTTATTTACCCTTAATGCACCAGCGGTTATCCTACCTATGCCGTACGTGCCCGGCACATGCCCCTTTCTTCTTTATTTCAACAATGAAATCCTTAGCCCCCCGCTTGCTTCCCGACTCACTCTGCTCTCTTTCTTCTCTTAAGGTTACACCCATCATTTTCTTTCCATTGCTTGCTACGTCGTCCTCAATTTAAGTTGAACTCTTTATAAGCCTCCAGGTTTCTTCTCCGTAGGTAAGTGCTGGTAAGATGCTGCCGTTATAATACCTTGCCCTTGAGGGATAGTGGTAGGTCACCATTAATAATTTGAGAATGCTTGCCCCATCCTTATTCTACTTATTTCACTCTCATGGTTCGGCTCTGCGGTTATTACCTGTACCAAGAATGTATTCCTTTACAACTTCTAGTGTCTCACCATCTATCGCAAAGCACTGTTCTCTGCAGAGATAGTTGCAGCTTACTTTAGATTTATGCATATTATTTTTAGTACAGACCTACTCTTCTGTTTCTTGTGTCCAATTCAGTAATCATGAGTCGTAATTTGTTCCTTGAGTTACTTATCAAGGCAATGTCAACAGCCTTCCATTAACACTTATCCCTAAATCTTACCATTCTATACAGACATAATCTGCAACACATTGTCCACATTGGGGGTAGTAGGAGGATTTAGAAACAACAGACCATAAATTATTAAGTGCTGCTCTCACAATGGAGATTACCTAGAAGCGAGCAACCTGCGTGCTGGTGCAAAGATGCACGGGCCCCTGCAGGTAGTGCTGGCCCTGCTGTTTGAACTGAGACTAACAGTGTAGGCAGCCCAGATTGAGACAGGACAATGTAATAAACAAAGCAGTTAATTATATCATTAGGTCAAATACTGTTTAGTCTTCCAGCTGCAAGCAAGCAACAGGTAAATGCTGGAAGTGGCACTGGTTCGAACCAAGCAAATCCACATAACTGTCTTCCACATCGTTGGACATCTCAACTGTGATCAAGGCGAATTCTCAAACATATGACATGGACTGTGCTCCAATAATAAAGGAAGGAATGGTTGTTGCTAGGTTAACTAGTTGGTACACGTACCAAGTTTCCATAAAAACACACAACGGGTGACTCTCGCAAAGCCATTCCCGTTTTGTGCTCAGGGGCCTTCAATTAGGGCAGTATGCAGTTCGGTAGCACACCTGCCATGCACTGTAACTCATTGCATTTCGTCCCACTTTGTCGTTGCAGTGGCGCCAATGGAGCACCAAACTACCCAGACCTTCCTGAAGAGGGGATCTTTGTAAACACCATTGCCATTGCCATCATTGCACTGACTATCCTTCTCCCACTGCTGGTCAGAAACAACCTCCGCGGTGGACAGGCAGTCTTCTCTGTCAACTAGTGTGGCTGAGTGTGTTCCCTGTTACACGGGAGCTCTGCGCTGCCACGAGGAAAGGCGTTTAGCGACACTGCTGGAAAATGATCTTTTCACGAGACTTCCGAAGGGTGCAACAGCTGCACGGACCAAGTTGGCTGTACAGCAATGGCAGTCTGCCCGCGTCTTGAGCACACCGCAGATGTGCGTTACCTGGCCACCCTCCCCAGGTACAGCACGACGTGTGGTGCAAGAAAGATCAGTTTTTAGCGTTATTGTCGCAGGTACGACAGAACAATTTAGTTCAATTTATTTTTATTTCTCCACGTGGGGGGTCAGGCGTGGGAAGAAACAGCTCTGCAGCTGTACCTTTTATTGTGCATGTTTTGTTTGGAACAGACTTCTGCGTCTTCTGTTTCATATTTTTCAATGTGGTCGTGGTTTGTTCAGGCCAATTTCTTTTTAATTGTCCAACATACTCTGAGCGATTAGGGAGGGTGGGTACTTGTCACTCGATGTTTTTTACACCTGTAAGTCATGACTTTGATACTATGAAATTAAGTTTTAGAGCAAGCTTGGTTTTTGTATCTTGTGGCGAAATGGGAGTCTTCAGCTTAAATAGCGAATGCGTGAAACTGCCACCAGAGAAAGCCTTTTCCTCACTGACATGCAGAGTGCTATAATAAGCAGTGTTGTCGAATTTTTTTTACTCATTTCATGTGTAAACATGCCCTCATAATGCTCATCTTCAGTTAAGGCCTAATCAAGACCCATGTTTTAGTGGTTTTGCAATAGGATGGGAAAGTGCATTTTGTTCCTAATTTGGAGTAAGGAATAGCTTTTGCTGGAAGCACTAAATTACAAGTGTAGTTGCGGCATTGCTGCAATTAGTAAGGCTTTTTAAAGGACACAGGTGAGGTACACCTCAATGCAAGACCGTCCTTTGCAAAACTGTCCAGCATAGGGGTCATTTATCATCGTCATAATGTAGCAGTATTTGGTTCTATCGATGTGAAACCATTCAAACTGCATTTGCCGAAACTTATGTTTACCTGCTTAGGAAACTTTGCTTATTGCAAGGTTGTTCTCCTAGGCACCTATTTGAGCCAAGAGGAACTTGAATAAACAGATTTTTAATAAAATGGTTATACTTTTATTCAACAAATTTTTAGCTCGCTGCCGGTGCACAACCAGCAAGGAGCAGTTTACCTAAAGAAAATAAAAAAAACCCGAAATAATTTTGACAAGTGAACAATGTGAAAGTTTTTTTAGCGCCTTTGCAAAATGATTGTAGCATGCACTGCACACAATACTTGGATGCTGTTGTACTGACAGTCACGAGCATGAGAATAATCGGATGTGCTATTTATCGATGACCATTGTTTCCTAAAATTGACAAGAGGGAACTCTGGCACTGCGATCTTTCAGCCACCATGGGAATGGTTAGTAGAACACAAATACGCATAGTCTTCATGCTTGCAGGCTTTGAGCGCACTTGTGTTTTCATTTATCGCTGTGTTTTGGTTTTGTTTTGAATGAAAGAACGAACCGCTGGGAAGTTCACAAGCTGATCAGAATTTGTGAGCTTAGAGGCCAAGGTGGTTAAGCGTACCTGCTGAACTTTTGCCGATCGTCGTCTCGTAACGAAGAAAACTCCAAGCCACAACAATTCAAACGAAGCCGGAAGCACGGAGGTTGCACAAATTTGTGTACTACCCATCACTCCCATGCTGGCTGAAATGCCATGCTTCGCAGCTCCCATAGACACTAGCGTCGCAGTTCCCTCTAGTGTATTTATAGGAAACTATGCCTGCTAAAACAGGCTTAACAAGTTTTTGTAATGCAGTGGCTTAGCACAGCAGCTTTCTCTCCGGAGCTGTCAAGCGCAGTGTCACTGAGAAGCAAAGGGGATTGCAATCTAGATTACAACGCGTGCATTCTTGGTGACTGTGACTGTCTGTGCAGTTGTTTTAAGTTGCATGAACTTTACGGTTCATTTTTCTTTTCTGTACATAAATGTTGAAAGCCCTGTTTTCTGTAAGCTAATGAAACAAGTGCATATATCTTGTGTATATACCAAGCAAGACACGTGGTTGGCATGCTCTTGTAACTTGATGGTGACGTATAATATAATACTGAAATTCTGCCTTATTTGCCAGTGTGAGTTCATTGACGCCAACAGAAGGGCGTCTGTTGTGGGAAGACAAACGTGCTCTAGCCCCTTCCCACTTTTCTCGCCTCTTTTTCAGCCCCGCCGCGGTGGTCTAGTGGCTAAGGTACTGGGCTGCTGACCCGCAGGTCGCGGGTTCGATTCCCGGCTGCGGCGGCTGCATTTCCGATGGAGGCGGAAATGTTGTAGGCCCGTGTACTCAGATTTGGGTGCACGTTAAAGAACCCCAGGTGGTCAAAATTTCCGGAGCCCTCCACTACGGCGTCTCTCATAATCAAATGGTGGTTTTGGGACGTTAAACCCCACAAATCAATCGCCTCTTTTTCAGACTGGACCGCAAAATTTGGGCGATTTAATTTACCAGTCGCATTACGTTCCGGACCTGAGTACTGCTGGAGTGTGCTATTGATTTTTATGGTCACGAAAAAGGATGAGCCATACATAAATTTTCCAAACGTAAACTACAAAATTCACCAGAAGACTCCCATCTAAGAGAAGGGTGGCATACCTCTCACCACCTAATGGTAAAAGAGGAAAAGCTACACCCCTGCCAATGGGAACGCCACTTTTATTACATCACGGTAAGCAGCAATCACGTTAGTTGAGAGATGCTGTATACTCGTACCATATGGTCATCTCCACAGCTGGCAAGCAGAAACGCGAATTGATGGTCGTGTCTTGGGCAAAACTTTAACCGTTTCACTGACAGGTGGTGTGCGATGCTGGTTTCAACAGTCAAGGATTTCCTTAACACACTGCAACAGACATTGACTGACAAACGTTCCACCACTGGGCAGACTAATCTGTATGTATTAAGGGGTTTGAGCTACTCGCGCTTTCCATGAACATATTGCAATGAAGACAAGTACTGCCACCTTCATGAAAAATGCCGACACATACAAGACAGCCCAATTCAATTTCGCAAGAAAACTGCACCACCAGGAGTAGTGTTGCTCTAATATAACTGCTAGAATCAGTCTTTCGCAAACTTCTGCCTCAAGCTGATACTGGGATCTTCAATTAGGTTTGGTGGAATCATGCTAGCACCGGAACCACGTGGAGTGGAAATGCGTGTTATACTTAGCCCAAGTCTTATACATTTGGTTGTTGACTCAAGAAGAGAGCACTGTGCCTACAGCCATTCAAGGGAGCAGGCAGTGCTTGAGAGGATTTCTAGGCTTGTGAAAATATTCAAATGCAATGAATACTCGCACAAGCATTACTAAGTTTGAAGTCGCTTCAAATACAAATTTCAATTGCTGAAAATTTCGATTGGAATGAACAAATAGGTGTATATTATGTACATGTAACCCCCTGCAAAAGTGGCTTCACTGCAATAGAGGGAAATGCTAAGCCATGAAAATTGCGAAAAATTCGCACTGCAATGAAGCCTCACTTCAAGGTTTAATGATTGTTATGCTCTCATCAAATCAACATTTAAGTTTAAAAGCTTGAAATAATGGCTTGTTATGCTGAAAAGGTAACTTAAAATTCGCACTGCCGGAAGTTGAATTCTGCTACTATTCCTTGTTTCAAAGTTTTAAAAACACTGTGCGAGTTAGTTGGATCGTGACAAATATGGCCATTGTTCATTGTAGTATGTGATATATGCTACTCAAATTGGATTCCAAATCCTTCGATCAAAATCGCTATTCGCTTCGAACTTAAATCTAAAATGAGCTATTCACACAAGCCCCAAATTTCACATCTCACGCGTTATACTATGTGGCACCAGGTACCAGCAAGCGGTTTTTCCTTTACCAGTGCACAACTGATGATCAAAAGCACACATATTTGCATCTGTGGCCTGCAGTGTACAGCTCTGAGGCCTCGGAACTTTTGTCAGGGCTTACTTACAATCTGTTCAAACGTTTTTGAACAAAGGACAGTGTTACGCAGACATGGGTCCAGTTGAAATGTAAAAATAACTTGCAAGAACACAGCATCGTGAGCCAAAAGTTGTTTCTATGCACACAGAACCAGAACAACATGCTTTTTTTCTTTAACAATTAGCTGATGCTAGTTCAGAGACAACGCAGGTCAATCCAGTATGGTTTGAAATGTGCAATGAGAAATGCGCACAGAGAACACATGCACTAGTGCATTACAGGTCTGTCAGAGTATACTTCACTACGCATTTCAAGATGAAAAAGATCTACAGCAGTGGCAATTACGGAAAATTTGTTTACCAGTGGGATTATCCTCTTCTTTCCTTTATGTGCTGCCATATTTGCCATATTATGCTGCTAAAAGTTCACAAGTTAGAACACAGCAAAGGATACGACTGCTGCAGTGTCTCATACAAAGTCCACCCAGACTGCAGACTCCAGTGGTAAAGGTGAATGCTTCCTCTCTCGAGTCCTATGGCTATGAGGTACCTGGGTTTTCAACAGAACAGCTCTTGCATGGAGCAGCAACAAACGGTCTCGCACTTTCTTACCTGTCGCCTCCAGCAAAACTTGGTGCGAAGCTGACCGCTGTGGCTGAATCCTCCACACTCAATTGTCCTTTGCTCTCAATAGGCCCCAAATTTGTTTCAGAAGAACCTTCGGCTTTCCAGCCCCAGACTACAACCTGCACAATACGCAGAAGCAAACGTGTACAAAAATGAAGATCAAAGCAGCCCTGCGACACTTTTGGGACAACCTTATTTTGCACCGGAACGTGTGTAGTGTTGTTTACTGAGACGAATGGAACAAGAATTATTAAAATTGGTGCACGGAAGGTGAAGTTAAGAGTCCTCAAAGTGCAAAACTCAAGCACACAATGACAAGAAACATTTTCTTTTGCATTTCACTCGCCAGCTGACATTAAAGACCGCTTACTATCACAGCACGCATCATAAAGACATACCGCAATTGTCGCCTCATGGTAGCCTTCTCACAATACCTTGCTACCGCTCTTTAGCGTCGTTAGCACGGTTACTACGAACCACAAGCGTTGGGTAGCAGACGCTCCCATGATCAAAATGCGTAAGATAAACACATACACTTTAGGGGGTGTCACTTCTCGGCTTGCTTACTAGACGCGTTTTACGGCAGCGCCAGCGCCCACTGCTTGTCGCATTTTTGACTCACTAAAACTCTGCATGCTTTTCCATCTTTAGTTGCTGGCGTACCATAGCCTCAGGTAACAGGCTAAGTGTTGTGTTCCTTGTTTTGAAAATACATTATTTAAAAATGGGAATGATTTCTTTCTGAGAAAGTGTAAAAACGCTTTAGCTGTCTTTAACATTCACTTGTATGGCCTAGCTGCTGAATATGAATATCGCACACTATTTGTCGCATCAAGTCAATAAAAAGCAAATGGTCCTTGTCATCGCGTCACTTCCCATAACAGAAATAAGATGTTGTGTGTCCCCGTAGTCTGAAATCAAGGTAGTTTGTCTTGGTGAAATAAAATAGTAGCGTCGAATTCGGCATTGCCATTTGCACAAGGATATAGATGAGTTACATCGCACCAGAAAACTGATGAAAAATACATGCTCAAGTATCGTCGCAGGGCCCCTTCAAACAATGGGGGAATAAAAAAAACACAATAGGTGGGACCATAACAGGAAGGAAAAAAGTTGTACAGATAAAAGTGCAAATAGTGATGTTCAATTTGAGATCGAGAAGAGTTCAGCAGGTGATACAATGTCCAAACTAGTGGTTTGCTGAGGTAACAAAATGGTTGCAAAAATAAAATTTAACTCTAGCAAATTACGACTAAACCACATCTATGCTTTCTGGAATGCCTAAGCTGCCCTTGTATGCCTAAGCAAGCAATCATGATGGATGTATAATTCCTACTTATTAAAAATAAATTTTCAATGGCTGAACCAATTAAGTATGTTCAATTCATTGTTCAATTTTCCATGCATTACCAAAAAAATGGACAAGTGAGAAAGTCATTCCTCCAACATTAAACTCTACCTTCTGTTGGTTTTGTCGCACTGATAAATATTTCATACATTATTACATGGAACAAGAAACATTTGTCTTTTCTATTCGCATATTCTCACATTAAGCCCATGACACTGTGTTGAAGCAGTTTGATGCAGCAATGCCTCCTTTCTTTATTTCAATGCCATTGCAAATGCTTCCTGCTCAATGCCTGGAGCCATAGGTCTGCCTTAGTTGTAAGATCATGATGCGATGTCGCATAAAGGGTGTGGCTGCTTGTGTCGCATGTGCGTCTGAGCTTTTTCCCATAGAGAAGTGATAGACGCTTTTTCTCTACCAAACACTATGCGTCTGTCAGATTCGTTCCTTCAGGCTTCTTCATTGTGGCTTGAAGCAATGCTGCCGCCACCACTGCCTCACATTGCTTGTGTGGCACCTCTTAAAGGCAGCGCATGCAGCAACGTTGCAGACACACATCCCCATTGGTTGCTCGCATAGCATCGTGAACGGAGACTCACTTTCTTAAAACACCATGTTGTATTTTACAGAGTCAACATGACTGCCAACATAGTGAACATGAGTGATGCGAAACGCCGCCCCATGTATCTATGCACAACTGAACAAAGAATTACTTTATCTGATTTCCACCGTGACACGCCACATAAAGGCGCTACATGCCCCATGAGTGCAAAGCACATGCGTAGGGTAGGCTATGGGCGAGAATAGGAAAAAGCTAAAGGAGAAGAGAGTGAACGGGTTGGATCGGGCGCATCTGGCTCGCATTTAAAAAATGGAGGCGGCGCTGGATGCAGCCATTTCAAAATGTTACCTTTTTATCCCTTGATGCTGTTGCAAAGTACAAGCCGTCGTGCGACCAGGTACAACTCCAAATAATTCTCTGGTGGATTGCAGTCTTCTTATCAGCAAATGCCACTCTGACAAAAATATTTCCTGATACAAGAGAAAAAAAAGTTATAAATGAGCCCAGCTTGCTCATATAGGTTGAAAGATTTGCATTGATGGCCCAGATTCATCACACAAGCCTAGATGCTCATTCTTTTTCCCATCTGTACAGCTAGGAACGAATTGAGCAGTTCACACCTGTACTTACCGCTGATGTCAATCTTGTGTATGCACCATGATCGGTCTCTCGAGACACTCAACAGGTGACGGTCGTCGGGAGAAAACTCCATTTGTGTTATTGTCAGGTTGTGAAATACGAGCTCCCCTACTTGCTTCCATGTAGCAGTGTTCCAGAGGATTATGGCTGCATGCTGCTGTGTGCTTGCCTGCATTCGAGACAAGGAACAGGTCGGCGAGACGGAGGATAACGCAAGAGTGTTGAAACCCTGAACGTGGTTTATAGAACCCACAAGCCAAACTACGGAGGCGAGAAATGTAGGCTTGTGCGAATAGTGACTTTCAGGGTCGAAGCGAATTCGAAGCAAATAGTGATTTTGGTCGAATAATTTCGAATCGAACTCGAATGGTATGTATAACATATAAAAAAGGGAATATTTATCATAACGTAACTAACCTGCACGATATTTTTTTTTAATTGAAATAGGGGCTCTATGCGAATGCCTTTTTTTTTTCGTTGAAAGGAAGTCGAAACAACCTTGATTAGTAGTTTCGGTGGGATTCGAGTGATAACCTGTAAGATACATAACGTTTAAAATTTATTATACTAAATCATATAAACCATCATAACAAGCTTAATAAAATGAAGAATTGATTTTAGGGTAACATGTTCCTTTAAAGGGGCCCTGCAACACTTTTTCAAGTATCCATGGAGCCAGTAAACATGCTTGTCGCCTCACAAATTTACCGCCGCAAAGTTTCTAGAATCAGTCCAGTACGAGCGGAGTTCCAAAAATTTGTCCCATGCTGCAATTGCATTCTCCATTCTCGACCCATCAAAAGAGCTGGAAGCTAAAAAGGGAAGGATGGCAAGGGGAAAGAAAAAAACTTCACGAGCACCTAGTGACCTTGAGCATTTTTTCTCTCTCTTTTTTCTTCAAATATGCGGCCTTTCAGTGCGATTGTGCACGTACTTGTGGACAAGCGGCGTCCGGTAACGACGAGCGCACCATGCTCAAAACAGCCAATGACTATGACCAGGGCCGTATTTTCTTTCTTGGCTGTGACAAGTGATTTTTTAGCTTGTAGTGTCATTTGCCGCGGGAAAAGAGCAATGTTTAGCTTTGAAAATTCAATGTGAATTTCAGGGCGCGTGCTGCGCTATAATACTTGCCTCGCGTGTTTTCGGCAGCCTCGACTACCGATCGGCAGCGTTTTCTGACCATGCTCAGTAAATGTTGCAGGGCCCTTTTAAATCTGAAGGAGGGCTTCGCGGCAAAGCAAATTTCTCCTGAGTAAGTGCTTTCACGGTTTTGCACTTCTACATTGCAGTGAAACCACCTTTACAGGCGGACTAATGTACATTTATTTGTTTATTGCGAATACTTTGAAAATATTCGATAATTTAAATTCGAATCGAAGTGAATTCGAATACTCACATATTAGTTCGAATAGTCGAAGCATTCGAGTATTCGCACAAGCCTAGAGACATGTCTATCAAGTAATTTTGGATGACTTCATATGTTAGCAATGTTATAAAACGAACGAACCACGTGTACAAAACAAGACGTGCGCCAGTTCTTCAATGTGGACTCGGTTAGTCTTACAGTGCTGCTAATATGTCCGACTTTTGAGCTTTAACACTGTTTCGGAACATCTACTGCTGTGTACCGCCACAAAAAAAAAAAAGTTTCCTGCTACCAATAGAATTTCTTAGCTAGTTATTCAATATTCTATAAGTTATAATATACGACGATGAATTACAGGCTAGAAATACAAAGGCAGATGCACTTAAAAAGGCACATGCATACATGCACCACCCAATCTCGACATCTCGCCTTTTGTCTCGTTCAGACAATTCACCATGTTGGGCCTCCCTCCCAGTGAGCGCACCAATTCCTTCTTGAAGTGTAATTACCCATGGCCTCATGCCTACATGTGAAGAAATTGACTGGGAACCTTCAGTAGTGCACACTTGTCTCAGCTACTGTGCCTGGTCACATCGAGAGGTGCGACCAGTGATTCGATACTGAGCCCACAAAATCCTGATCCCTTTGCAGCACATCTGCCGGTGCCGTGAGTTGTCTTTTACCGTAGGGCTTAACGAATATCAGTGTGTACATAGTTAATGAGTGTGGTAAGCTCGCCATTGCAAAATTAAGCACCCACCTTGTAGTACATGAGAACGAAAGACTATACTGTATTTTTTTAAAAGATGCTCCGCACTTCCAAAGTTCTGGCTAAACAATGAATAAAGCTTGAAGAATTTACTTTAATAGGCTTCCCCGCTATACAGATGCATAATGAGGTGAAGAATACTAATTGCAGGGCAAACAAAAGACACGCAGTGGAGGGTACCAACTGCACCCATTCTTTATCAAAAAGAGTGCTACATTGTTTCGAGAAAATGCAAAGGGCTTTTTTGCCCAAAGCATGCACTCCACAAGAAGCTGTGGATGAAAAGTCAATAACAAGTAAGCCGTTAAGTTTACGACAAAGTCTCTGGTGGTCAAAGTGCGGATTTCATAAATAAGCTTCAAGTAAGCATATCTTGTTTACATAATAAATATATACACGAACCTGCATAACGAACTAGAGTGTATATTGTACAGTTGTAAAGCCTCCATAGTTTTGACATAAAATATTTTAGATCTGAATTGGGGTTGATATACTGTGGACTTGTTAAACAGAACCTGAAGGGACCAGGAAAACATGCTCTATTTACTGAGAGATTAAAAAGCGTATGGAAAGTGGGAAAATAATCACATAAAAGGCAGTTATTCTATTTAAGCAGAAATTTCACTAAGAGAATCCCGTTTACTGAGAGTCCACTGTATAGCACATTTTTGTGATGGCCTTCAGACTATATATACTGGCTCGACTGTTTAATATAACAATACTTCATAACTATACCCAAGTTTGATACACTCGAGTTTCACTCTAGTGCCAAAATATTCTTGTTGCTTTGCAGGTGAGTATGCCTGAAAAATGCTGACACGCTTCTATACCTTGCAGGCAGATGCAATGAGCTTGCCATCACGTGAGCTTGTCAGGGCAAAGAGTTCGTAGCCGTGCCCGTACAGCTTCCTCGCTTCTGTCCACAGCGTGTTCTGTAGGAGGTCTTCCTCTGTAGGTGGCTCTGAGAAAGCATACAGCAATTAAATTCTTTGTCAGAAATATTTCAAGCCTTAAAGAAATATGAAATTGCAGAGCCACATGTGGCTTCCTATTCTTTGCAGTACATTGTGCTATTGACTGATAAAAAGCATACAATGTATCCCGGCAAACCCAGGCCAGGCTAACACTTTTGTCACGTGGCAAATCTAACATCATTAACAATGAAAGACATTAGGTGAACTTGATGTCATTTTACATGCCCGTTAAAACACAATAACAAATATCATTTTAAAATGATGACCATAGCCCTCATGAGCCGTGACTTTGGGAAAAATCAACATCTATCAAAACTTGCACGGGACCTGCATATATTTTTGAATTTAATTTTTATAACTAAAAAGCTGCTTCAAGGATTTAAGCGCAGCTGTTTTACGCAATTTGCTGCAGCTGCACGACGCGAACAAAGTCAAGCTGCTAGTCAAGCCCAGGGCAAATCGAAAACCAAAGTGGCCAATGATATGATGGCAGTGAATATTCCAATATGGCCAACTGGATATGACTAAGTGTGGCGCACATTTGACACTCCGGCTGCAAAATGATACGGCAGCAACTAATTCGTGTATTCACCACCTTGATCACTGAAACACAAGCAATAAGACTATAAATACCTGCAATCCAGGCAACAAACAAAGTAGAAATGATACTTGGCCTCCGTCCTTTTTTTTTTTTTAGAAACTTACATGCATATCTTTATTACATCAATAAACCAGCAATTAATTATTCTAGTAACAAAATTATTTATAAATGACAATGATTTACATAAGCAATTGAATAGACATCTCCTCAAAAGGTCGCTGACGTCGAGACTAAGCATTCAGTTTGAAATCAAGTGCAAATGTGTTTTGTGAACTTGTTCGACATAAAGTGTCATTTTTATGGAATGGCATTACTTTCACTGTGTGACAGCAAGCACATGACATTACAAATTAATTATATTTATTTTAAGTGGCAATACATTTGTCATTACAGGGATATTAGTGAAGAAAGAAAAAGCAGCAATGATGGCATTAATGGTGTCTCGCTAGGTACCACCTTACTGAGACTAGCGAATGTTTATGTTGAAATTGAAGTTTTTAATGTGATGCATTGTAGGATATACGTGGATTAGAAATGATGAAAATAATTACTAACCTCAGTAATAAAAACTAACTAGTTAGTTACATGCCGATAGAAAAATCCACTTGTTTGCAGAGAGCAATGATTAGCAAGGTGTTGCTGGTGACATTACTTTATCTATAGGCAATTTCTTGCTTAACTAGCTAGGCATACAACTTAGCAGCTATGACTTAGTGACTACTCGTAGCACGCAAAAAGCAAGCACCACCTGTGAGGATGACGGGTGTGAAGTAAAACTCGGGGAACTGGTTTTTTGGGTGTCGCTCCGTATCCCCAGTGTCGCGAGTTAGGTCGCTCTCGTAAACAGCCTTGTTGGATAAGCCTAGAGAGGGCACACTGGCACCTTCGGCCAATTCCTGTAGCGAGAAAAAGAAAAAAAGGGGGGGAAGAGCACACGTGAAAGCTTTTGTATTCCCCAAGTACACTCAAATTCCAATATAACAAAGTAAATAGAAAATAGTCTTGCATTGAATAAAGTTCTATGAACAACTGTTATAACAAATTTTCGGATATAACAAACTTATTTTCTTGTAAGATGTAACATTGTTATCAATGAGATTTGAGTGTATATGCAGAGAAACACCTTACCACTAGCTATATGCTTTGTCTTTTCTTTTTTTAGAACTTTCAACCTCTGCACGGTTAGTACTGCTTTTAGGTAAGCAAGCGATTATATAATAATTGGTGTTTAACGTCCCAAAACCACAATGTCATTACGAGGAACGCCATAGATGAGCGCTCCAGAAATTTAAACCACTTGTGTTCTTTGACATTCACCTAAATCTTGAGTACATGGGCCTCAAACACTTTTGCCTCCATAGAAAACGTGGCAGCCTAGGCCAGGATTTGATCCCATGACTTTCTGGAGAGCAGTTGAGCACCACAATCACTAGAACATCGTGACAGGTAGCATGCCATTGTGGTAGTAGCACTTAGTTAGCTAGGGTATACGAAAGCAGAAACACACACAATAGATAAAGGACACACACACAAAAAAGGTGGCTGATGCCCCTATACAAGTATTGGTATAACACGAAAGTGAAACATGTTTTTACAGAGGCAGTCGAGCATTTATTTCACATTGTTTCAGCAACAGCAACAAATTGCAGTCATGTTAGAAACGGCAAGCAGCTTGAAACTTGCAGCGCACACCTCAAGCAGAAAGCATGCACGAAATTAGCATACACAGGACGAGCGCCGACTAACAATTGTCACAATTCTTCTGGCGTCGTGTGTCAGCAGTGCGCTCTTTTTGTAAACGCGGCCCTGGCCGCTGTGAAGTGACCTTCGTCCTCTCTCGAATTAGGAGTCTGATGAGAGCGCACGCAAAAGAGACTGCGCTCTGTGGGGCCGGCAACCCAGGGCACAGCTAATTCGCGACCGTTGCACCATCTTGCCACTGATAACAAAAATGCACAAAAGTTTCGAAGCTCTGAGGTATGCCAAATGGTATATGGTGCATATAAATGGCTTCACGCTAAATGCCTGGGGGCGGCACAATTTCCGTTTTCCTTTGAAAGCTTTATAGCAATGGACGTAAGTTTTGTAGCCCATCGCAAAGGAATGAAAATGTGATGGACTGATGATGAAGCCATCACTCCCGAAAACAACCAAGCGTGCGCTGCAGCGTGAATGGTGAAGATGCTCAGGAGGGAAAGGAAAACAGTTGGCATGACAGGCCCTCGCACACTTCCGATGCAGTAAATTTGTTCGTGCTGTGACATGAGCGTGCAGTTTCTCGGTGAAAGATATAGAGAGACAGAAGGAAGAAGATGCTCGAGCAGTCAACTGATTTGGGTAAGGTGCGGTATTCTGGGGACCGCAGTTCGGGGGAAGTCCTTAGAAAAAGGGACTTAGCACTCGCAGCCCATTTTACGTATGACTGCGGTCACCTGCTCAACGAGGCCTCTGCCCAGCTCGCCTGTTCAAAGCTCTGCCAAAGTGTCTTCGTGTGCACTCTGGCAAGCTGACTCAGGTGGGTCGAGGAGCGCAATTTATGCGTGTAAATATGTATATTTTTTATAGTAAGGCTAGCAATATATTATGAGCTTGCAAATAACGCAAGGGTGCAAATTATGCGAATAAATATGGTATCTGACTCCCACTGTTCCCAATCACAAATCTTCACTCAGTTTTTCTAGGCAGTTTCCACTAAATGCACAGTCTTGATTTTCTGTGCTTGTATATGTCTCCTCGCATGTCACGAACTGCATGTAACAAGAAAGTCTCTAACAGCGACTCCTCCTATTTGATGACATAAAATCTTGCATGCTACGAGTAAAGCTATTAAATTTTTGAAAGGTCACCTTTATGCTGCAGTCTTCGAGCAGGTTGGCACCACACAGTCTTTTGAAGTTATCAATAAAGTTGCGGGTTCCTTCGAATGCCCTCAACACCTTCTCCTCGGCTCCAGAGACAAACTGGAGCCGCCCAGTCGACGCGATGCAGGCAAGGTCATGGCCGTGCACCTGTGGCCTTGCAATCTCTTTCCATGACTGCAAAGAAAAGAAACAAACAATGCAAATCATTTCATACTCTGTAATACATATCAGCAAGAGTTTTTTTTTTTTTATAATACCCTCAGGGCCAACAAGGCATTAAAGAGGGGAGTGGGTAAATACATGAAAAATACAAATAAAACAGTGCAATAAATACAAATAAACAATACAATAATTACAAATAAAACAATACAATAAAAGACAGATATTATTAACATTTCTGCAGAATGTATAAAAAATAGTTATTACTAAATATACAAAAAACAGAAGCAATAAGCATAGGTAACAGATTTTCTTGGTTATACAATGTTAGCTAATGTTTCATGGAAAAGTTTGAAGTCAGTAATGGTTGCGACATTCGGGGGAAGGCGGTTCCAATCATGAGATGTGCGGGGAATAAATGACTGAAAGAAGGACCTAGTGTGACATGATGCGATTCCTACCTTATTGCGATGATCAACACGGTTTGAGATGTACAGAGGCTGGAGTATCAGGTCATTATGAAGTGTAGGGTGATAGAAAATTTTATGAAACAGTGAAAGACGGGCGATTTTTCGTCGGTGAGTTAATGGAATAAGTGATAAATTATTTTTCATTGAAGTGATACTTGCAGTGCGGTTGTAGTTAGGGAGGATGAACCTAGCAGAGTTATTTTGTACTAGTTCAAGAGATGTGATGAGATTAGCATGACTGGGATCCCATATGGCGGATGCATATTCGAGTTTGGGGCATATGAGAGACTTATAGAGTACTACTTTCAAGGAAGAGGGTGCTTTGGAGAAGTTACGTCGTAAGTAGCCGAGCATGCGATTAGCATTGTTAATCACGTACTCTACATGAGTTGTCCAACTTAAGTTATTTGTGATGTGCACGCCAAGATATTTATAAGACAGGACGGAATCTAAAGGAACGTTGTTTAGGTGGTAGGTGTTATGATTCGAGTTAGTTCTTGATACGTGCATTATCTTACATTTCTTAATATTAAGTTCCATTAACCAGATATTACACCAATTGGCTATATTATTCAGGTCAGTTTGAAGTGTTTTAGTATCATCAACATTGCTGATTTCGCGGTAAATAACACAGTCATCTGCGAACAAATGTATGTTAGAAGTTATTGAAGAAGTTAGAACATTAATATATACAAGAAATAATAAAGGTCCCAACACTGAACCTTGAGGCACACCGGATTGTACTTCAGTGAGTGGTGAATGATGGTCGTTAGCAGTTACAAATTGGAAACGATTAGAGAGAAAATGTTCTATCCATTTAAGAAGGTTAGTGTCAATATTTAGCAAGCTTAGTTTTAAGAGCAACTTTAAGCAAGCTTAGTTTAAGAGCAGTTTTAAGAGTTTACTGCTGCATTTCAATAAATATACTTTATAACTTTTGCTTTGAAGAAAGGTGATGCAGGGAAAAATAATCAGGTGACTGATCAACCAAGCATGTCTTGAAAGACATAAATTTGCACCCGAAAATGTGAGTAAAATGGAATAGCTATAGCTATAATCTTTTCCTGAAAAAAATAAATAAATGTATTCGTGTAAAGTGTTCGCATGCATTCTAAAGGCATTCAATAAATGCCACTTCTATTATCAGAATAATTATTACTACAAGGCTTAAATCATTTAACTATTTTTTTCCACATGTATTTATGTATTATTATCAGGTGGACTATAGAACACACAGTACAGTAATCTTTGCTCAATGGCTTAAGATTTTTTTTATTTCTTCACTGTAAAGGTGAAGATATGGGGGTAAAGTAAAGTTTCTACCCGTTTCATTCATCCACAGACCGGTCCAGAAAAGTCCAGTGTCACTTCAACTTATCCAACTTTAATAGATGGTTTACTTTCAGGACAGACACAATTAAGCTGGAGTAATCGTAACATATGATGATACGACATGTTGCATTTAGTGACACAAAGGCCAGTTGTAGCCTAAGAGTGCCAATGAATGATGTACATATTCTATGAGAAACTATGTTATAAATGACCATGTAAATGTAACACGACCAGTGCCTTTTTTCTTTTGACAGTCAAGTGTTGATTATATTTGTTACAAGAATCAAGAAGCATGTACACGATAGTAGGCACAGGTTGCAGATTTTGGTGTTCTTTCCGGAGGATAAAAATGTAACAGTTCTGCATTTGGCAGAAAAAAAGTAAATAAATAAAATAAAACTTCTACATTGACTTAAATTTATTTTTAACTGAAGCACAAATATTTACAAATATTTAAATATATTATACAGTGAATCCTAGAGTAATTATGTCACTTGTGCGGGTGCCAAAACGTCTCTGCAAGATCTTTACACTTAGTTCGGTCAGTGATTTATTTTCTGTGATCATGTCACCTAAGCAGGACGAGCCTTCGTCGAACTCTTGAGCTCATGTGGATCAAGCATGCTTTGGTTCCGCAGGTTTAGGTTCACAGATAGCTAACGCTGTTATTAACTTCATCGAGGGCTCTAAGGCCCATATTCGCAAACGCTCCTCGACTCGAAACTCAGCTTCAAGAGATCCTTGAGATTTTTCACGTCGCAGAAATCACAACCAGACACGGTCCCAAGGATCCCTTGAGTTTAAGTCGAGGAGCGTTTGTGAATACCCGCCTAAAGCACTCACCTTGCTACCTTGAGGCATGATCCAAGGAGCATGCAGTCTTGTAGTTTGGTCAGAACTGCAGCTCAGCAGGTATTCACCTCCAGCAGACCAGGCAATGTCTCCCACTTTGTCAAAGTGACCACCAGGTGTCACGCTGGTCTGCCATAAGTTGTCTCTGTCGCTCTAATACAGAACAAAACCGAGGCGAGGTGTCCGGCTTTAAGTTCTTAGAAGTCCAATTACAACAGCATGCTACTAGAAAGCATCTTTTAAAAAATAATACACAAATAATAAATCAGCAGAGGCTCATTTCATGGTTGCAAATTCGAACAGCCTACCTCTGGCCTCTTCCACATGTGAAACGAACCCTGGAAGCCATGAGCCAATATTCTGTTCCCATCAGGACCGAACACGGCCCCGAGAAAGCCTAATGTGTTCCCACCTATGTCGCCAAACCGAGCCTGAAAATGAGAGTTAGTAGAAACTGTACTCAAGAACCATCACAATGTGATTTAGTGACTCAATGCAATGGGCAGCGTGAATGAGAAAGATGGAGAAATAAACACGCAAAACAAGTGCTGAATGTGATCCTCAAAAAAATATCGGATGTGGAAAATTTCAGCTCAAACATGCCACCACATTCATGGAAATGTATGATTAAAAATGAATGGGGGAGGCTTGCAACGTGTTTTTGACATTTATTATTTGTAGCCCCTCAGACAAAAAGGTATCATGCCGTGGTTTGTACAATTATATGCTGAGAATTCCACCACAGCAGCTTATTTGGTATAGCACAGCGATTCTGAGCTCAAAGTGGCAACATTTCAAAACACACTAAACCAAAAATAATTGCACGGTTTAGTTGGGTGTGCATTATTATTTACAAACATCACAGAAAGCACTCCAGAATATTTTTTACTGAAGTAAGCGTATAAAGCATCATTTTACAACTTCACTGCTTTCTACAATTAAGAGGCGTTTTTTCTAAGGCATAATTGTGCCAACTATCCAAAATCAGACACATCATCTTACAAGGTCAGCTCACCTTATCCAGCCAAAGCCCCGTCGAACTGTCTGGTTCCCATACAACGACGGTCTTGTCCATGGATGCAGATAGGAGGCTGTGGCGCTCACCTCCATCTTCACCTAAAATGCATTTGCAGCCTCAGAACAGCTTTCTCTTTGGAATTCACTTGCTATATTTCTTGGCATTCATTTTACGACAATGTAGTAACAATAATTTCTCGAAGCTCACTGACATGTATACCCTATGTACGACAACAAGGATGCTTGTTATCTCTACATACTTGGACACAATCTAGAAAAAAAGTGTAGGCTACGCCTATGAAACCATGGCGTGCCATGATTAACCTTAGAAAGTTAAGTCGTCTGGCTAGTTCACGGTCCAGCTGCAGGGAATTTTTCTTAGCTAATGTGAGTACTATGCATATAGAGAGTTAAAGATTCATTCTTACAACCTAATATTATGTTTGGCTGTGCAACGACGTCAGAATCCCTGAGAAAATTTACTACATTTAAGTCTTTGACCTAACTTTGGCGACACCAACATGTATGGCTGATTTCCTGACTGTGAAAATATTTGTGTGGGGCTATGGAGTATAAGGCAGAACAACATCAATTTCGCTGGGACACTTCCACGTATGTTCCTTATTGTCTTCACCAGACTTATTTTTTAATTGATTGCAAATATGCTTACATCTACATCTTGTCTCAATCAAAATATAGCTATTTACTTGAAAGCACTGCGACACAATGACTCCTGCTCATTTATTTTGTGTCAAGTGCCCTTGAATTCTGGAAAAAATCTGAAAAGTTGTTTTATTAATTTGGTATATAACGCTTTCTACCGCCAAATTGAGTGTTTCCAGGACGGTTGGTTTTTCATGGCATGTGGCCTAACAGACGCTCTTACTTCCATTCGCATTCAACAAGCACATGTTACAGAATTTGCTTTTGAAATCTTAGAGCATATAAAAACATCCCGACAGTATTTAACTTCGCACACTCCGTGCCGACATTCTCTTGCTTGAAAGAAGTTTACTCACATCCCCGCCAACGCTACTTTCACCTTACCTCGTGATGTTGCTGGACACCAGTGAACACTGTAAACCCAGCCCTCATGACCGGAGAGAACCGTCTCCAATTCAACGTCAAAGGCTTGAGAAGATTCTGTAATAAAGAACACACACAGGGTGAAGCACCATAAGTCCTGGTAAGTATGTTTCCAGCCTAAACAAAGTATGTCAAACCCTCTTAAATACTACGCTGTGAAATCAGGCAAGTGGGATACAGCATGTAGCTAGACTGTCATTATACAATGCTCAATGACTCCTGTGGTTTTTCACAGCTGCTAGGACTTACATGATGACATATAATATGCATTTATATAAATGTTTCTTTGTTCAGAATGCCATGCTTACCATTAAGTGTGGCTGTAAATGTAGAGCCTCGAAGTTTGATTTCCCCAGGTGTGCCGTTACTGTTTACCGTCTTGTCATCCCTGCATGGTGATATCTTCCAAATTCGTATTACACTGTCTTGACTGCAAGAGGCAACAAAGACGCTGTCGTCAGCTGAAAGAAGACATCAAGACCATTAAAACAAAAGGGAATGATAACCAACACAGTTCAAATGTTGTAAATAAACCACCCTAAGGCTACACTGGATATCTTTGGTTGCATATCATAAAGTTTTAAAGCACCGTCAAGGTAGCGGTACACACAGAAGTCTTTTGTAAAGTTCTCAAGTGGATTGCAGGTAAATGAACTCACTGAGAACAGTGCCTCACTTACTTTCTACCACAATAAAGACATTAGCCAATGAGAAATACTTATTCTACTAGTGCCACATCATTTCACGTTTTAAACTTCTTCTTTAGGACAAAGGTTTTTTTATGAAGTCGCTGTACTATCAAAAAACAGTGATAAAACTCTCATATATGCAAGACCTTTATTTTTTTTAAGTCGGTTCTAACTTAAGGCATTGAGCAAAACAATGGCTGAAAGTGTCACATCAACAGAAGGAATAGCAAAATTTTAAGTACATTCAGCAAACTATAATTTCTAATGAACAAAATGTGGCACTTCAGACAAAAAGTCGTTGCGCTCCAGTAAACAGAAATGGTTTTTGGTATTCTATTTCACTTCGTTTTCAGTGAGACATATGTGATTTTTGCATGTGTGGAAAAAAATTCGACAAAGTACATCAACAAGCTTAATCCCCCAAATGGCATGGATAATTTCAGAAAAAATGAGAAAGTTTGGATTTCATTAAGATTGTATGCTGTAAATAAAGAATACACGTACATAATATATATTTGGTATCCAATACTACATTACAATTACAGGGTAGTATTACAATATTTCTTTTGACAAGTTATGCTATCACTGCAAACTATGTGATTAAAGAAAGTTTCTTACCACACTCCTTGAAGGTAATGCCTCTGACCCAATCCTCATGACCATATAGCGTATGGCACTTCACGAAACCTGCTGTAGGATCCTTGTAGTAACAGTGGACCATCATGTCGTTGCCTCCATATGCCAGCATTGGAACTGCACAAACAGAGATTCCGAAGGTTCTTTGGCTTGCATGTATGAAAATGTTTGTTATATATTTTCCCCTGCATTTACTATCTCATTTTTTTTTTCTGCATCCTTTTGACAATAAGTAATGACAATAAGTGACACAGCACAATATAACAATATAAAATTTCATGTTTCTCGACGTCGACTTCACCACAAAGTGAGATTTCAACAACTTTGTGTGCCATATAAAAATGAATTACGCAAAATTATAGGTTGTCGTTTTTGTTCTAGCCTTAATCTCTTTTTGTGACAACTCCAAGCACTGATTGCTGCTGCACATCGGGGACAAATGTTTTAGCTATCTTATTAGCATTCATGTGCCTATGCATTGTTACATTTAATGTAATACATTTCATGTATTGCTATGATGCTTTTTTTTTTTAAGCCGAGAAGGGGATATTGTAAAAGTTTTTGTGAACCTTTCTCCCAAGTTTATATGCTTGCATGTTTGAGGTTTCCCAACGAAAGTATTACAATGATGACAATTAACAACAATTTACTTTGTATATTACATGCTATGCAATCTTTCCATCCGTGCACTGATGCAAAATGACCAAAACGATGCGTACATACCGCATGTGGATGGCAGAAAACACATCCTGATGTCCATAGCGAAATTTCCTTTCAGATTGATTTCCTGTACACATCTCGCCGTAAATTCTGCAAAAGATGTGGCATTAAGTTGTAACGTCGTTTTAAACACTCTGCCGAAGTTTCAACAAGTAGCACCTGCGTCAACCTCCCATATGCGAATGGAAAAGTCTCCACCAGCGCTTGCAACTGTGATCAGGTCACTCGATGCTGGCGCCGAATACAAAGCATCTGCCGTCGTCACAGCATCTTCGTGGCCGACAAGCCTTGTAGCTGGAATAAACTTGTAAAGTGACACGACTGGACGTTAGAAAATTCAATGACAACTACGCTATAAACCTGCATGTCTGTTGAAAAAAAAAACAAAAAAAAACTTACACGATCGTCTTGCTTGGTCCATATAGTCACCGTTTTGTCAACGGACGTGCTCAGTAACGCGGTCTCTGCACCTGAAGAAAGCGATTAAAAGATCAGTAGATAAGGCAAGGTGCGACGCTTGCTGTTCAAGCGTACACGATCCCCAGCGACGGCGGCACCAAATAAAAAAGGTAGCTTGATAGCTCACCATTTTTTCTACGGATCCACCGAACGCAGTTAACTTTGGCGCTGTGGTTAACAAGGGTGTGGGTGACGGCACCAGCCCCACTATCGGCCTGCACAATCGGCAATCATTTAATTCAACGAACAACGATCGCTGATACTACGAAAATGAATGAACGAAATACCTCGGGATCGTACAGGACGACAGCGTTGCAGGCTCCGTACGCAACGATGTTGTTACAACCCCAGTCAAGCGATTGGGGGTTGCGATTGCAAGAGCAACTCGTATATTCTACACGAACAGCCATCTAACACTTTCCTTTCATACTCCCGAAATTAGCTGACACAAAAACAAAACGACGATCAGACAGCACGCCAGTACACGTGCACCACAAAAACATAAACCGCGATTGGCTTGTCTACGAACATGTCTACGAACGAAACGGAAAACAAGTCACTGATCACTCAGTCTTGCCCGGTGCGATGCAAGCGCCCTCAAAATGCCAAGAAACAAAAAAAAATATTTTCAGACCACTAAAACACCAAGACTCACCAAGTATAACTGTATACAAGCCAAAAAAGTTTATTAAAATTTATCAAACAGCTTTGTGATTACTTGTATTTCTTTATCACAACTCGTCAAGTTTGTAGTTTTTGTTCTGTTTTTCGACCAGTTCCGCCAGGCGGGCGTAGCAAGATGGTGGCGATGTTGTGCGAGTGATGCTCTGTGTACGAAATTTTGTTATGATTGTGATCCGAGCCGCGTGTTAGGATTCTCGTGCAAGGTAAGCATCCGCGCTTTGTGTCTGTATCTTCGACTGTAGCGTAGGTAATTGTGCCCAGCTTCAAACGCCGCATAATAAGCGTTTACTGTGACGAAATATTGCCAGCTTCCTACCCTACTAAGCCTAACGTTTTGTACCAATTTCCATCTCTCTGGCCTTATTCGACTTGTCGACGGTTGTATCGTACGCGGAACGAGGTGTAAATCAACCCGGGTACCATTACTATCGTCGTTGACGATAGGGCAATGTAATATCTGCTGTGTGTGCGCTTCCCTTCCTTCACCGCGGTCTTGTCAGAAGTTGGAAGCGCTTCCACATCCTACTTTGCCGGACCTACGGCAGCTGCCGAAATTTCTACAGCTTCGATTAGCGTGAGCACCCCTGAGCGCAGTTTGTGGCCGCCGATTTAATTGCTGCATTAACTTCCCTCTGATTGTTGCAGTGAATGCTTGAACGTTTACAACGCGTTCTTTTCCGTGCGAGATGTCATCCACACATGCTGAATTGTAAATGTGTTCTGTTGGATTTGCGAGCGCGAATGTTTCGATAACTGTTGAAATATGTTTCACGATTGGAACATCTGATGGACGAAAAATCTCTGCTTTCTGTTTGGGTCTCAACTAGGTGATTTCATCTGTGGCAACTGAATGATTATTGTTGCGTGCACCTCTCTCTAGAGAAAACTAAAGTTGCTACGTTAGCTGTTTCCACGTCGTGTGATGTTTACTGTATTTTCTTACTTTAACGAGGTGGTTTACGTCCTGCTCTATATTTGGTCGCTATGTGTGCTACGTTTCGATCCTAACATTTGCGTTTCATGATTGCGAAAGGAGAGGTGAAGTTTAGTCATCCGGGGCTCCGGCTTTCCAGGATCTGTGTCACGCCTGCCCGTGTCGCTGTACGGTCTTGCGTAACTAGTTTTACGGATGCTCGGTTCATAGCATCCGTGCCTTTTGTCGCGGTGGTTCGAGTCCGAAACAGCGCCAATGTCGCGTGCCTCTTTCGCTTCACGCGCCGTTTTTTTTTTTTTTTTTTTTGAAGCAGCAGCAGACAGTTTCTCGCGACTCCATTCGGTGCGTTTTTTTTTTTTTAAAGTCGCGCATGCTTCCTTGCTTATCAATTAATCCATCAAAAAAAAAAAAAAAAAGCCCACCTCCTCCCTTTCCGCTTAGTTGTGTTGTGTGTGTTTGTGTCGTTTTTTTCCATCTTGTTTGCTTTTGTTGACAATCTTACCCGAACTTTCGAATACATTCTCACTGTCGCGCTTTATTGATCGGATCGTCATGTTTCCTTCAGAATTTGCGTTTCGACATCGGTATCGCTGTAGTAGTGCCGTATGCCATAAGGCGCTAGTGTAGAGCTTTTGAGCGCTTTGGCTTCGGACAGGTCGGCGTTTTCGCTTTTACTCCGGCATGAGGCGTGCCTCTTGAACCCGCCCGTGAGGTCGCATCAAATTCGGAGCGAGTACACTTACGTAACGTGGTGACTGCCCGATTGCTCAACGGTCGCCGTTTGACAGGCCCAGCCTTTTTTGGACGCTATGCTGCTAACGGTTCATTCGACGCTCCCTGACGCATAAGCCAATTTCGCTCGCACGAGAAACGGGCGTAGGCCGGCTGAACTTCCCGGGCGGCGCAGCAGTCAATCGACGACGGTGTGTTGCACCGTCCCCCTCCGTCGTAAAGCTTTTGTGACAGCTGCCCGACCTTGACGGCCGCTTTTATTTGCTGTTTACGGTCTTCGTCTGGGGGGTATTTCTTTCTCTTCGCAGACCGTTGCTTCCGCGTGTTTGCGCGGTCACGGCCTTCGTCGTAGTTTTCTGCCCGTGTGTGTACAGTCTGGTGTACTGTACATACACGCTCTCCCTGTACGCTCTGAAAGGAAAAGCTCTCCGTCTTGTGTATGTCGCATGATCCGCCGCCGCGTTGCTCCGCATCTTCTGGTTTCCTTCCATCCTTTTTTTTTGTTTTGTTTTGCTTGTTTGAAACGCTCTTGCTTCTTACAACTCGCGCCAAGCCCCCACACAATCGGCACCCCCGTCGTCTCGGGTTTCAGCGTTTTAACGGCTTGGTGAAAAAAGAGAAAAGCACTGTTTCGCATGGCGTAAGAGGATCCGATACGCTCGGTCTGAGCCTCCTCGGGGGCGCTCTTTCAAAGCCTCCTTCCTGCACCGTCTCCGCTTTCTTCTCGATAAACGAGACCCCACGAAGGTCGCTGTGCTTGAAACGCCGCCTGCGGTCCTTGTTGTGATCTCTTGCAACTCGGGCGCATCCTCTCGGGTCTTGTGGGAAGGCACGGACGTACTACGTCGCATTGCCAGATAGGGCGCTCGCTTTGTTCGCGCTTGCTCTGCCCCGGTCGATCGTTCGCTCTCGAGTCAGCTGCGCGCCGTGCCCTGGCAGCGGTTTGTTGACCTTGCGTCGTGCTGTTGAACATTCCCTCGCGTTCCTTACCCAGGCAGCACCGTTTTTTTTTTTTTTCCGGAGTGTTTTGTCACCGATGCCCCATAATCTGAGACCGCGATGAGCAGCTCGCGCGCGCAGTCGGTAAGTTCCAAGATTACTCAGTGTTGATGGCGAGCGAACGAAGAATAAGCTTTTTTTTAAAGACGATAGTCTTTCTTAGAAACCTTCGACGCAAAAAAATATTGGTCTGTCTGTATATTTGTCTGTTGTCCAACCTTAACCGTGAACCGTATACTCTTAGCAGCCCCAGCGGATACCCTAAACGGCCGATTCGATCCGCAGCGCCCACCAATGTTGCTCAAGGTTGCGCGTTCATACTTGTGCGATTGTCAATTAAAAAGCAATTATTGCCCATATCTGAAGCACCATAACACGTATATGTTCTGCATGCGCCTCTTTTACTAGAAAAGGCATACATAAGTAATTCAAGGACCGTAGTTTTTATTACGCTGCGCTTACCATGCAACGCTTGCACGAAAAGGCGAGTGTTTCCAACGCCTTGCTAAAACGACACGGTGGTGGCACCTACCCGTCGCATTGCGTTCTACACCTTATCACCTCTGAGACGGGCGCGCACCCGTCTCAGGACCGCGCGCCTCGTTTTCCAAAAAAACTGCCGGATGGCGCTCATCTATCACGTGTGGCGTGACTTGATGCGCTCGATCGCCTCCGCTGCACGCTAGAGGTACTCTAACGCAGCGCCTCCAGAATACCATTCACCGATTTTCTTGCGCAGAACAATGTTTTGTTCACTCTCTCCACACGCAGGACTATAGTCTTTCGACGACATGTGTAGATTAACATGCAGATACGGGGCCAATTTTTCTCGTATTTACGTCCCTTAGCTTATGTGCTATTTCTGTTATTACAAAACACCAAGCAGAGCACCATTGACAATTACAGTGGCTTCTAAAAAGTGCTGTCTCCAGCGGACAACATGATCAAAACGCCAGGCCAGCGCACAACGCGCAGCACATTCACACCGAAAGCTGGAAGAGTGGCCTTTCCAGAGTCCGTTTTAAGCACTCTTTGGGTAACTGCTACAAGCGCACTTGCTGTGTACCAGCTACATCATAAATTATAATTTTTGTGTTGTGGGGAAGCATTCACTATTCCATCCTTTGTGAATCTTCGGTAAAGCGTGGCACCCACTACACACTTACAAATAATTTTGTGCAATAACATGATGTCGTGGCTGACGACGATGAAGAATTATTTCTGAAGCTTTAGTAATGGGTTGGAGCACTCTACGGCCCATTCGTTACGCAATTCACATCCTTGTCGGTTGGCTGTTCTAAAACGCTTTATTACCCATACTAACGTTATTTCTTACTGGACATCAAGCCTACCTGTGTCAGTTTGAGCCAGAGTTTCAAGCACCAGCGTGACTCTGTGGTAGAACACTTGGCTGGCACGCAGGGAACCCGGACTCGAATCCCATCGTGTCCTTGGTCTTTCTATTCACTTTGTTTCTTTATTATTATTCCGCGTGATAGTGGTTAAGGCCACCGGCGGCAGCAGAAAACTACGGCGCACGCGACTCTTGTTGTGATCTCATAACTTTCGCTGTAGAAACCAGAGGGATAAAGCTGTCGAGGATTTCTTGCTACAGCCGTGGTCGCTTGCTTGTTCGGTTTTGACTGCCAGGTAGCTCCACATTGTCCCCTTAACGCACACTCAAGGTTGTTGTGCTGTTGGTGCAGCTTGCCGAATTAACAACAACAAAAAAAAATCACAGGATGCTTAAACGTCATGTTTTCGCTGGGTTCCAATCAACATTACTTATTCAAAGCCCACATTTTCATATTTATGCATCAATGGTGCAACCAGGAGGGGTGGCTAGGGGAGTTCGAACCCTTCAAAATCTTTACATTTTGTATGCGCATATGTACGCGCACACATACAAGAGAACGCACGGACACTCGTAGGGAGGGGGGAGGGGGGGGTCGACTCCCACCCCCTGAAAAACGATTCACGCAATGCCCGCTGTTTTGCTGCTTACCTAGAGTTGAACGAGTAGCAGTTAGAATGGACGGTATATGGGCACACGCTTTTACCTTGAATTCAAATTATTTCTTGAAGGTTAGCTGCTTCGTTCAAATATCAATTACGTTTAAATAACGGCGTACCTGAAAGACCGCCTTGTCTCCTCTATAGACGTCACACTTCCTAGGCGGCGCTGCGAAAAAAAAAAAAAAAAACACCATCGCTACTGTGTGCGCGTATCCATGAAAGCTCAATCATTGCGACTTCAGACGCAGCCATAGCCCGAAGGCGTAAATGGCCAACTTGCTCTGAATGAGACCAAGAATGAGTAGTGGAGATTACCTTTAACCGAGACACCCATACGGAGGATGCCAAGATACGCCTGATTTTTTTCGATGGGGAGTGAGAAGCTAGAAAATCGGAACACGACACGAAGCAGCGTCAGAGGGGTCATAACAGTGGTTCAGGAACTAAAAGATCCGCACTACCTGATCGCAGACAAGCAAAGGATCAATGAAATGGAGTGCAATGTGTCCAACACGCAGGCGT